CACTGTGACCTGGACCAGCAGCGGAGGTGTATCTCCTAAGAATACCTGCTAATTAGCACACAGACAGCTAGCCTGTGTCTTACCTAATTTCCGGGTGTTACAAGTGGTCCAAAGGGCAGTCCCATGAGTATGCCTCATCTGCCTACCCTCAGCTTGGGGCTAAGCCACATGCTGGCAGGACAGATTACTATCTCTGTGCAGAGCCTGCACACTCTTACCTACAACATCCCTACCAGCCCTTCATTACAGATTCACTTTCCAAAGAGCTTCCTTGATTATGCTTTCCTTCACTTATCTCTCCCTTTTGTAAGTTCATGGCATCTAATTATAAAAACTGGCAACTAATTATATGCCATTTGGAATTTTAAAATTTTGTTCATATTATCCCAGGTTCCACAACTTTGAATTCTCCAATATATTAAGAACTACCTTCAGTGAGTCATACTACTGCACACAATAGTAACAGGGTCTATAGAAAGCTGTCTGATTACATGGGCCTGATAATGAGAAGCAATGCTTGTCCACAAGTGATTCAATAGAGGCAGTTCACTCCAGACTCCCACTAAACAAAGGGATCAAAGAGTCAAGGCAAAACAGAGCCACAGGCCAAAGACTAAATGGATTCTTGTGATTAGAATAAACTAGTTAGATCCATCTTCAGCTGTGGGTGGTCAAACCAGGAACCCAAGGGTTACAGGTTATAGCCGGTCACTAGAGTCAAGTTGTGGCTTTCAATTAAACATACAAAGTCAAAATCCAAATCATATAGGGAATGAGGGGCGGGAAAACATACACACATATATCTGCTCTGCCTAATAATCCCGAATGGCTCGCTCATGAATGTCTTCACTTTAACTCCAAGGAATACAATCTATATTCACCTTGAGCATCCCATCTCAGTTTCGAAAGCTGACATTAGTGAGTGAAAGTTTGGTGAGAAATGGGATATTTATATAGTCTAAAAGTATCACACAACAAAATACTTATTAATTACAAAGTTTTAAAAAAACAGTAACTTTGCAATAGACGCTGTACAGACACCACTTCACTAAGTGGTTAGAGTTAGTCATTAGTGATAGGTCAAACCAACACCATGTGCCTCTTGAGAAACTAAGAAAAGAACACACTACTGAGTCTAAGTCTAGAGGACATCAGACTTAATAAGGGGCAGCTTATTAAAAAAAGAACTGACTCCTAGTCTACAAAAACGTGAAGGTCATGAAAGACAAAACAAGATTAAGGAGCTGTTCAGATTAAAAGCGATTTAAGCAACAAGATAACTAAAATGTTTGATCCTGGATTAGATCTTGGACTGGGGATTTTTTCTTTTGCTATGAAGGGCATTAATGAGATACCTGGAAAATCAGAACAATTAGATTAAACAACAGTTTTCAGGCATACTGTGTTTCTGTGCTTTTAGGAAATATATACAGAAGTATTTAAAGGAAAGGGGACATTAAATAACTTACTTTTAAATAGCTGAGAAGAAATACATGACCATAGATTAACAATAGAGCAAATGCAGCAAAATGGTGAATATGGGTGAAGGTTGCATAGGAATTTTTTTGTACTGCTTTTCAATTTTTTAAATTCACATACAAAATGGTACATATTATCATGTTCAATGGTTTTTGTTTTATTGCTGCACTATTCTGAAATTATTTTAAAATAAAAAGCTTAATTAAAGAAAAAGATACGACCAGCTCTAGAGACCCTGTGGCCATAAAGACTCAGGATTTCAAGGTTGGCCTTTTTCTGGTGACGTGAGCTGCCACCAGAAGCTGGATGAGCAAGGACTTTAAGCAGTGTAGACTATTTAGTTTGGGTTCTAACCCCTGTGCCTCGCACAAGTAAGCTGTTAAAAAACAAAACAAGATGGTGTTACCATTTCAAATTTTAAAAAAATCAGAAATATATAAAAGCCTTCCCATTTATTTTACCAAGCAAGTAAGTGCACAAGTTTACCCCTTATATCAAAACTGCAGCATTCAATAAAGGAAAAAAAAAAAAAAAAACTACAGATGAGTATCCCATTTACAAATAAAGATGCAGAGATAATTCAATAAAACACCAAGAAATTGAATCTGGCAGTATATTAAAAGAATAACAATAACAGACCATGGGAGGCAAAATCAAGTTGGTTCAGAAAGGTAATAATGGGTGATGTAAGGATGACTGAATATACAAAAAAATTAAAAATCAATTAAAATAATGTAAGTTTTGAAAATCAAAAGAAAACAATATATTCAACAAGGAGGAAGTTTTAATACATGAATATCTTTCCTTGATTTTTACATGTTTATATTTTTCAGTGAGAACATTTTTTTTTGCTTTTCTGATTATAAAACTCTGATTACTGTAATTGTTTACAATAATGGAAAAGATAAGTAACAGAATATTTCCTCACAGTGTGAAATCTTCCCAATTTGTGGAAGCACATCTATAGGCAGATAGGCTGGGGGTGCAGCTCAGTGGCAAAGCTATGCTTAGCATGCACCAGGCCCTGGGTTTAATCCCTAGCACCAAAAAAAAAACAAAATAGAAATAAATTTAAAATATGGGTAAACAGCAAACCAGCAAACAAGAAAAAAAAAAAAGAGTCCATTCGGACAACAAAAGATGGGATGTGCTCTCACTGATTAGACTGTGAAAAGTGGGGTGCTCCCAAAGCACCCTGGAAATGGTTCCCACAATGGAGTCTCCGTTTCCTCCATCTTTTCCTCTTCTGGCAAACCAGCCACCAACCCAGAAGGCTGCAAATTTGCATGTGCGTCACTTCAGAAAGCTCTCATCACAAAGATCCTTACCACACATCTTCAGCTGTCTAGGGCTCAGTGCAGAAAAATAGGAGGATTAAAAATAAAAGATTTCAAAAGCATACATTTAGATATAAAATTTGAAAGATAAAAAAAATCAAATTATGGAGATTTGCAGAAAAACTCAGACTAAAACCTTCATTGTCACAATCTGCTTTGAGGACTCCACGCAGCGTAAAAGGCACATCACCTAGTGTTGCTATGTTTAATCTCTGACGTTTCGGGGTGGCAGTAGGTTCTCAGAACTCAGATAACAGACAACATGATTCAAATCATGGGCAGAACTGGGAGCCTCATTCACTGAGGCTAATTTCTATTTACAGCCAGAAAAGAAGGAATTTTCCAATAATAAACGGTACAGAATCCTACAGGAAGCATACCCACTTCCAGTTCCAAATAACCTACCCTACAAAAGGCAAAGATCCTTCTGAAACCAGGGAAGTTAAAAGAGTCTGACCTCATCCGTTCAAAATACCCAGAGCTCAAGGTTACAGTAACCTGACTCCCCAGTATTATTTTGACCAACTTCATAAAAACAAAAGCTGCCTTTGATGCATTTCAATACTGAGCCACCTCATCAAGGAATCAAATATTAAAAATTAATAGGCTGGCAAGGCACCATTTAACGTCAGGCAGCTCTACCCAGGACAGGGGGGTCTGGGTGAATGCAGGTTGCATATTGTCTTTTGTGCTGTCCCAGACTTTAACAGTGTGGATCACGCCTGCTTCTCCTCCTGGTCCTGACTGATTCTGGTGGAGTAGCTCAGCAGCTGTGCTTCCTCCAGCCTCACTGTTTGGGGGCATTTCTGCTCTCCCCTTGCCCTCCTCTTCTCTTGGCTCACCACCTCCAGATGCAGGCTGCTGACTCAACTTTTTCTCTTCTTGCCCATAACAGTATCTGTGGTCAAAATTCACACATTCTACAGTGCAGCAGACACAGAGGGCACATGAATTGGTACACAGGATGCATTTCACTAGACAGAAAGGCAAGAGGGGAATATGAAGACAAGAACAAAGGCAAAGACCAACACTTAAAAGACACAAGGCGGATGATGGGGAAGCGGCTAGTGCTCCAGCGTGGAGGCAGCGTGAGGCCACACACAACAGGGCTCTGCTCCTCCTCACTCAGCTGCATAGCACGCTTTCCACGTGGGGTCCAGCAGACACCAAATCTTTCTTCTCCTTCACTCTAAAGTTTAGCTAAGAAGGCCACTAAGCACTCAGTCATACTCAAAGTCTCAGTCCAAAGAAATAGTACATTAACAGTCTGCAATAATGTTACTCCAAAAGGTTTCTGAATCCATTTCATAATTTTAATTCTAACACTAATTTCAGCCCTACCTGTCACCTGGGCTTCTGCAGAACTCCAGAGTACGGCACACAAATGGCCACCAGTTACTAAAAGTGAACACGGTCCTAGTGTCACTAGGAAGACTTCCACACACACACATCTGTCCTCTCTTTTCCCTGCTCTCACAATGCTTCGTACCTGTTATTTAAAAAAAAAAAAAAACAGCACCCAAAATGACCATCACTGAAAACATGTCTATCTTTCACTCCATGAGAAATTCTTCAAGGATATGCATGTGTTTTATATTCTCATGTATGCTTATCTGAACACAGCATTTCACAATAAAATATTGTTAAATGAAAACTCTCTCATGAATTCTCCCTGTTCCAGCCTCTCCTTAAGTTTTTCTTTTCGCCATAGTTTGGATCTGGAATGTTGCAGGATTGGCTCCCAGCGCAGAAGCCTTTATAGATGAGACTTGATCTAGTATATAATTCAGAATCTGATGAGCTACTTCGAGGAGATGGGCACTTAGGAGGTGGGACATAGCTGACAGGAACGGATCTTTGGGGACGTGACATAGGGGCCTGTATCTCGTTCCAGCCTCTTTGTCTGCTTCCTGGGCACCAGGAGCTGAGCGACTTTGTTCCACTGTGCTTTTCCACACTCTTCTTTTGGCTCGCCAGGTTCAAGAGCAATGAAACCAGCTAATCCAGACTGAAACCTCTAAAACCATGAGCAAAAATAAATATTTCTTTAAGTTGATTCTCTCAGGTATTTTGACACAGGGTTGGAAAGCTAACACACTTCTTGTGCCTCCTTTTTTGAATTCATTATACATTTACTAGGGAATTGCAAAAATAGTATAGTGGACCAGCTACCCTTCATCCAGGTTACCCTAACGGTACTTCAAGAATTTGCGTGTCATCCTTGCATGAGGGCTAAGCAAATCTTCTCTGTATTGTTCCAATTTTAGTATATGTGCCACCAAAGTGAGCACATGGTACTATAATAGAATATCAAAACCAGGAAGTTGACATGTTCATAATCCATACACCTTAATTGGATTTTGCCAGTTTTACAAGCATTTGTATGTATTTGTGGGTACATTTCATGCAAGTTTAATATACATGTGGAGATTCTTACAATCACCAACACAATTAAATACAGAACTGAGGGATAGAAATGCAACTGAGTGGTACAGCATTTTCCCATCATGAGTAAAGCCCTGGGTTGAATCCCCAGTACTAAAAAAAAAAAAAAAATATATATATATATATATATATATATTCACATACACACACACAATTAATCTATACCACAAAGACCTATGTTATCTCTACATCATACTCATTCTCTTCTCCTACATTTTTTTCTTTTGTAGCACTGAGGATTCAATATAGAGCCTCACACATGCTACGCAAGCACTCTATCACTGAGTTAAATCCTCAACCCTTTTTTTTTTTTTTTGTTTTGTTTTTTTTGAGACGGGGTCTCGCTATGCAGTTCAGGCTGGCCTTGAGCTCACTTTGTAGCCCAGGCTGCTCTCGAACTCGCAATGATCCTCCCACCTCAGCCTCCCGAGTACTGGGATTACAGGCGTGAGCCACCACGCCCGGCTCCTCATCCCTTTTAAAAAATTTTTGTTTTGAGGCAGCGAGCGTGTCACTAAGCTGTTCAGCCTGGCCCTGAATTTAAACTCTTTCTGCTTCAGCCTCCCAAATAGCTGGGATAACAGGCATGTGCCACAACATTAACTATAACAAACACTTTAGAAGATGCTGATCTCATCCTGTGTATTCAAGGTCTTTTAGGACGTGGTCGAGATCCACTGCTGCAGCTCATCCCGCACCTCGAATGCCGCGCACTCTACTCCAGCTACACGCGGAATTCACTGCCCTGGAAACATGCATTGCAACTGCAGCCTTTGTATCTTTATTACTTCCTTTACTGCTTGTTTACTCAGAAAAAGGCTCAGCTAAAATCTCATATTTATAAAAAGCTGCTTCCAGACTTCCACCATCCCCAAGGAATTGTTTTTCCTCTCCCTGCAATCTCTTATAGCCCTCAAAACTATGTGTGTCCTGTATACACAGGGATATGTATTATTCTATGATTTCACAAAACCCAGCAGTTTTGAGGGAGGAGATTAGGGTGTGGCAAAGCTGGCTGGGGAAGTAGGTGTGACCCTGTCAATTTGTGCAGAACAGCTCCCAAAGCCCACACGCGGACTTCTCATGAGAACCTGAGCAGGTTTTCAGTAGGATGCCCTATATCTGATGTCAGCCTGAGGCATGGGGTCCCAGTACTGCCTCTCCAGACCCACAGGTGGAGGTTCTCATGAGTTTCCTTGCAATTGGGACAATACAACAGACACAGGCGCCAAGAAGAGCTTGGTACGTGAATTCCTTCACCGTAGCACACTCTGTTTTGTTTCATTGCTTTTCTTCCTTCCACTTGACCCAAACTCACTCTGCAGAGCCGGTTTCTCCCTCACTCTTTACTCTTACTTTCTCAAATAAATTTGGCCAGTGCTTTTCGCTCAATTCACTCAATTCTTTGTTCTAAACAAAAAGAACGTGGAACCTAACGCCAGAGGGAGCAGCCAGTAACCCAGAACCTGGTAACATTTAGTTGTCGAGCCGCTTTGAGAAGGAACTGCCCAGATTGGCTCACCAGACTTTCACAAACACTTCCTTTATGCTACCTAGCACTGCAGTGACTTAGTGCTGGAGATGCAAAGGTAAATGTGCTCTGGAGGGACCTGCAGCCTAGGACCTCAGCGCCTGGGTGACTGAAGATACACAGAGAAGCTTTTTGAACAAACGAATAAATGAATCCTAGTATCTGTAGGTCCCTCGAAAACATTCTAAGACAAATTGACCTAGGGCAGATATACATCATTTAGGATCCTGATACTTCTAGATGACACTAGAAGCCACCAACTACTGACCATTCAACAAATGGCTTCCTGAATAACTAACATATGTCTGGTTCTTTTCTAGGTATTCAGGCGGATACAGCAGTAAATAAAACTGACAAAACCCCCTGCCCTTGCAGAGTACGTGGAAGTAGAGAGACAGTTCAGAAAATACACACATAAATTTAAATATAGGTTAGATTGTGGGGAGGCTAAACAGAAATACAAAACAAAAATAGGAAGCATGAATGTTGCAGAAGACAGTGGATAATATTAAATCAGTGATTAGGGAAGGATTCCCAGAGAATATAACATTTGAACAAATCATAAAGCAGGAGAGAGAGCACAGCATGGGATGTTTTGGAAGGAGACTGTCCCACACAGGGGACAAAGCAGGCAAGGTTAGGGATCAAGAACAGCAGATCCAGACAAGAGAGGGCCAAGCACGTGGACATTAGAAAATGAGCTCAGAACAGTGAAAGGTGGACTATACGTGCAGACAGCAGGTGTAGAGAGGGAGAAATATTAAGGACCTTCTAGGACACAGAAAAGATTCTGCCGTGACTAATAATGACAGATTAACTATTTATCCCTGGGTTTTTTTTTTCCTCTCTGATTATTTGGTCTCATACTCTGAAAAGCTTCCAAAATGGCATTTATGACTAACACAACTTATCAAATTCAGATGACTCCTCCTAGCCACCAGGACGCAAAATATATTGGATATGGCCATCAAATGGTGAGAACATACCAAAATGCCTTCTAGATTACACTTCTACTAAATCAACTCATTTCTAACTTAGTAATTCTTCTTTTTTAATTGGTTTTCCCCTGATTCAAAACAGTAATACAAGAGAAATGATCTCTCCCCCAACCCAATTAATCAAGCCAGTGGTGAGAAACTCCAACGGTACGGGCATACCAGAGATTAATTTTGACCCCTGAGCTTGTGGTAAACAGAGGAAGGAGAGGGATTGTTAATCTCATCAGATAAAGTTAGTTACAAGGACTCTTCTAGGACATCTGGTTAAGATAGCAACAGGACAGGTGTCTCCTGCCCACAGTTCCTTCTAAAATAAAAGAACACAAAAATAGAGAAAAACCTGCATTTGAGCTGGAAACCAGAAAGGATGTTATTCTGCTTACCTAGAACTTTGAGGAATCTCTACTGCAGATAGCCAAGATGGAACAGGACCAGAGGGGACCCTGCAGGCTTTCTATGGAGAAGCAATGTGTTCTGGTAATAAGAGAATTAACAGAATAAGAGAGCCAGCCAGGGAAGCAGACCCAGAACTACTACAATAGGGACCAAAGCCCACATCATAGGGCCTCCCAAGGAGCCTGAGTAGACTTTACCACTGCCAACAATTTGTCCAGACAGTTTGTCCCCTAGAGGAGGACTGGGACTGATGGACTGGGTCCTTCCTATACTGGGCAGCCCCAGTGCAAATTCGGTCAACCTAAAACGCCCACTTGTCCCCTGACCTAAATATAAAGAAGTCAGATATAGGCTCTATAAGAATTCCTCTCCCATGAGATTATGGTGATAGCAGCAAAACTCTAAAAATTTATGTAGAATAAGATTTAAAGAATCACTAGGCATGGCAGCGCAATCTATAATTCCAGCACTTGAGAATCTGAGGCAGGAGGATCACAATGAATTCAAGGCCAGCCTGGGCTACATAGTGTGTACCCCTCACCAAAAAAAGGATTCAATATGATTATAATATCCAGATGAGATTATAATAGCCAAGCTCACTGCTCCCTTTGCAATACTGATGTAATTGATCTTTTCTCTTCTGGGTGTTAAGCAACTGAAGTTTAGAGACCAAGACTAGAAATGTAACTGGGCTAAGAAGACAGCCAACATTTTAGCCCTGGCCCTCCATGGTCAAGGAAGACCCAGGACGTAAGGAAACCTTTTCTACAGGATCCTACAACTTTGGTGAGTCACCCAACATCGTGAGCAGGGAGACTGCGGGGCCCCAGAGGACAGAAATCAACAAATGTACAGGGTGCCAAAAAAGGGGGAAAAGTCTCCCATGCTTTCACAGAAAACAACACAGTCAACCAAGACCATGACTCACTCTGGCAGCTGACAATGACAGAGGAGCACAGAGCCCCTGCATCTCTTCCAAAAGTAATGCTGGAGGAAATTTAACTGACCTTGATAGACAGCAAGAGGTTAATTCTCGCTTCAACGTGGTCTTAAATATCCAGCAGCATAGTGTAACCAAAAGATGTATGAAAACAATACCATAGTAATAAAAGCCAGATATAAAAAGAGGTTCCAATCGCTGACCCTTTCTAGAAGTTTCTAGCTACACCTGTAACTGACCACTGTTATGGTTCAGGGAGGCTAAAAAAAACTATGGTAGAAGACATAAAAGCTCAACAAGTCTTAAATTCCTTAACTAAAATTGCCCTTCAAAACCACCAATGTCTCCATTTGCTTACCACTAAAACTAGAGGGACTTATGACAGAAAAACATCAGATTTATAGATAGCCTCCACCAGAAGAGTGCATAGTCGAAGGGCCAGCTGGTTACAATCGGTATTCCAGAGCAGTATCTTAAGAGCAGTATCTGGATGTTGTACTTTCCCCAATCTGTCTTTCCATTCTAGTGTTCGTGCTTTGATTATACACGCTTTAACTTCACGGGAAATTGTTTATTCTTGCCTAGAGATCAACTGCAAGTGATCATGCAGGTAGAACCAACAACAAATGTGCCAGACTCCTTTCACGGAGATCCACAATAGACTGACCTTGTGAAGGGAGTTGTAACTGCTAACGATTTCTTTTCAGGGTCCATTATATTAGCTCCCTGGAAAAGGCCCCTAACTGTGGTCTTGCCTACACTGACCTTCTCAGCTCTGAGCAGCTAGACTGAAACTGCCTATTCTCCCCTAACCTTAGTTAGGGATGCATCTTTAGAGAGGGGAATATTATAGGAAGACAGGGCTGAGCCCTCAAGATGAGAATACATCAGGAACATGGCTAGAGACATATCTGAAGAAGATTAAAGTCACAATGGCCAGATTCACACACTTCCCTAAGAGATAAATGGAAGTTTATTACT